CGTCGTAACCGAAACAAAAAATTTTCATTTTTATATTTTCACAGCATTACGATGCTCAAAAAACGTCCAACGTATACTTTAAGACGTTTGTTCAAGTACCGTAAGGGTTGCGCGTGGACACGATAAAAATATTTTTTGCAAAAAACAAACAAAAATTATTATTTCAACAACAATAATAATAATGACGTATATATCCCGATCTTGAGAAATATATATATGTATATATGTATAATAGTAGCAAAACGCAAATATCTCCGCGATTATCGACAATCGAAAGTGCACGTGGAGACTTTTATATTTTAATTCATATTGGACTTTATTATTAATTGACAATATTGTTCGAAGTGGAGAAAAAAGGACGCATGCGATTAATCACTTTTTTCTTTTTTTTTTTACAATTTCTAAACGTAAATCTGTAGTTCCGTGGTAGGGTGGTGGGAGTATCGCGATTCGACACTGATCCGCGGTCAATTATAATAGTGAACATTAAAAGCGACTGACAAATGCCCTTGACAGAGAACGTCTTATTACTATATGTATCACTTTTTTCGATTTTGAGATTGATAGACGGCGGTTCAATCTGATTTTTCTTCTTTTTCTTTCCTTTGTTCGCATAACGAATGTTACAGATATATATATATTTTCGTGTGCATATTAAAAAAGTATCGTGTAAAAAGCACGCAACTGATTGTTAAATCTTATTCATCATTGTTTTTCTGAATACGCACGTTCCTCCATTTGCGAATATCGTTGCGATCGTCGAATGGGTTGTGCGAATTTGAATGAGCTCAAAATGAATAATAATCATGATAACGGCTGGATGAAACATTGGCATCCAGCATCCAGTGAGGTACATTAAAATTAGAACGTGCCTAAACGCATTATTATTATTATTTTTTTAATCTTTATCTAATATATGTACAACAATGCAATTAATCCTATCCGATTCAATTTTGGCCACCGTGTATATCTCGCTCGTTGGATCACGGCTAATTTTTATCTCGTTACAAGGAAAATTCAACGCGGCTCATTTTAATGGCCAATTTTGCATCGGACTGGCCGCGCACGATGGTAACCGACTACGAGTTACTTATTATGGGCTTACGTAACAATTGGTTTAACGCACATTTATAAATGACATGTTTTTTTATCCGTAAACTTATCGACTAATTGTATGTTCCTTGGCTCGACTAGCGCATACCAATCGCGAAAAGCATACTGATTTTTTTTTCATCTAGCTTTTTTACGAGCTAACGCTTAGTAGGTCTCCTTTAATATCTACGTACTAACATCAGGCGTACATTTAATATAAACGTGATGATTTTGCGTGAATCTTCGAAGCAACATCAGCGACGGCCTAGAGCCCTCGGGATAAGTAAAACTGTTGGCGTGATAAAATTTTGAAAATCACTTTCTTTTTTTTTTTGTAAAAATTATTTTTTATCATTGACATATAAAAATCATGATTGATCAAAAAGTATTGAAAAAGTCGCCAATTTTTTTATTCGCGAGTCAACAAAAAAAAAATTGAATCTCGTAACGGAGATTGGGATAAATTTTTGGTGGAATTCAAAAAAAAAACTGGTGACGTCATCTTTTGAGACTCGTACTAGAACGACATTCTAATTCTCGGTATTCCTGATTGTAGTCTATCAACGTGATCGCTTACATTTGGCACATCTTACACGTTAAAGATTATTTACACGTAACGCTAATGGGAAATTTGAAATTTTTGTTGTAATATATGACAGCCGTTATAGCGACTGCTCCGCGAGCCACTTATAAATTAACGTTATTTGGATATATATATATGTATTCTACTTAAAAGTTACGACGAACCGAGGCAATATTTATACAATTAATTTTCAAACGAAAGTTTATACATTGAATTATGTACAATTCTCTTAGGCCTAGTATTGCCTAGACGGGTCTGGCGTTAAAACGGCTTAACGGGCCACGTGCGAGTACGCTCGCACAATGGGCCCCTTTGTATTCTCTCTCGTTCTCGCTCTGTCCCACTGCGGAGGTACCGTTTTACGCGAGCATCATATCCCACTGGCATTTTCAAACATCTAACTTCACCGTCTTTGAGTCTTGAGCACCGAAAACGTATTTATTCCATGCAAATCTTACGTAAACATTTAATATAATAATAATACGCTAAAGTAAGCGATAATACTTTCAACTTGTTTTCGTGTTTGCTTTCGCAAACCTTTCCACTTCCAAGTTTAATATCCGCTTAAGCAGTTTGGCTTACCAAGTAATTTTACTATTCCGCCTTACTTATCCATTCCTATTAACATATCGCGCTATTCTACGTCTCTTGATGGCTTTAGTATTTTATTTTTTTTTTTCCTTAGACCCCCTTCACGCAATAGTATGACGAGGATATACCTAGTGTAAAAAAAATAAGTTTGAGAACAATTGTCTAAGTTTCGACTATACTGTTGTTTTTTTTTAAATATAATTTTCCAATGGCCCTCCAATCTTAGTCATCTTGAAGAAGATATTCAAGAAACGATCACGAGCCAAGTTTCCATCGAGTCCGCTTTGGTGATGATCAGCGACATTTCAAACCCTGGGAAAAAGTTATAAAACACACTCGAGGGCTCCGTCTGGCTCGATGCAGACGTTAAAGTCTTAAAGTTCCAAGCGGGGATGCTCGGTCGATACGTCATTGAATATATTCCGAAAGTTTTCAACGGAGTTAAAGTTTCGGCTGGGCCGTCGAAGATTCGATTTGCCCTTATACAGATTGCCGCCACGTAACCGCGACTTTGAACTTGGTACTGGAAAGGTTCTCTCGCGAGTGCAATAGAGTGTCACGCGTCACGTCCCACAGTTTGAGTGTCACTGATGGCTAGTGGGGATCGTTATAGGATGTTACCGTCTATCGGTCAATTGCAAGTTTAACGATCGACACAAGCGTTGACCGTCGTACGAACATCACGGGACCTCATAATTTGGACATAATATATCCGTGTTTCAACGGTGTAAAATTTAGATGGTCCGACAACATTTCGTCACGTATCCATTACGCGACCGTTTGGTATTTTTCACATATTTTGACTTCGACCCTCAGCCATTGGCAACCATTAAACACGCCGCGCGTGATATCCACAGACGTAACGAAAAGCTGCACTACTGCAAAATAAATTTTTTGAATTTAAAAAAAATTTTTTGAAATTCCCTACACCTAACCAATTTTTTCAGAGCCTCGGAAAGAGTGTCCTTTCATCTTTGATTGATATCTAAGGAATTTGTAACAGTAAAATTTCAAATACCGATCGACGGGGTTTGACAAGGATCAAAAATTTTTTTTGCTACAGTATAAAATAAAAAAAAAATGTTTACGTATCGACAAGGACGGCTTTGCTTCGATGGAGATGAAAAGGAACACGTTCCCCTTTACTCGTGTTGCGTAACTATTTGGTTTTCTTGATCGATCAGAAACGTTATGAAAATTAGCAGATTGTGGGTCGATTAATTGATATCTGGCTTCGCAACGATGTCAAATCTTCATAACGCTGCGATTACTTGATTCGACCGTGTGAATAGAGCGCGATGCATTTTCTGCTTATTAATCGTAATGTGCGTTACAGTTTGGCTCGATACGTTCGGGCGTGGAACACGCAGAGCCACGATATAACGGCGTCACAGAGCAGTATCTCTGTTACGCCTGGGTTAGCATGGACTGTGGTCGCTCACGCATCGCTTAACATAATCCCCCGTCCAACCAGGACTACATAGATTACGGAATGATGCTCCCGCAATGTACAATTATTAACGCGAGACGTTTCAATGGCTGTGGGTCGGTACGTGGACCTAACGATTATCGGGTTGCTAGGAAAACCGGCCTGCGGAATCAGCGGGATGATATATGTATATATATATATTTTTTGGAAATTCTCATCTCTTACTTTTGCCTTTTTTTTCTCTTTCTTACGAAGTCAAACATGTTCTCCAGGAACGAGCGTCGATGGCGACAAGAGCGTAAAGTGGATCTGAAGAGGACGGTCCACGTGCACGTGACGTCGGGACGCCTGATGAAAGTGCCTCGCAGTAGAATGTCATTACGAATGAATTTTCTGCAATCAAGCCGCGAGAAGTAGGAGGAGCTCGAGGTAAACAAAAATCTGTATCACAAAGGACGAGATATGACGTCACGCGTGAACCGGCGAAATTAAAAGTACGAAAAGTGAAGAAACGGTGTCATATACATGACAAAAAGCGTAAAACGTACGAAGACGATATTACTTCCGATATACGATCCCGTCTCCCGAAGGGTACGTTAAATTAATTACAATTCCGGACGCTTTCTACTCCTCGGCAGCACCGTCGCCCCCATAATCCAGAAGGTTACAGCGATTTCTCATTGGAGCGATCATCAACCGTGATTGGCGATTAGGCGTTGGTGTCGACGGCATCGTGAGTTAAACTCCTGGCAAAGTCCCTGGATCGACGCCAGCGCCACGCGTCAAAACACGTAGCGCCTCCGTACTAAACGCAGAGACCTCGCCTTCCCTGTCTGCGAAGCTTCGACCCCACTCGCTATCCTAATTCTCAAATTAATCGTCAGATGTCGTTTCGAGTCGACTAACCAAACGAAGTGCAGAGAGCCTCGTCTCACGGCTCGCACGCGCCGCTTCGTTTCACCTCGTTGTCGCTTACTTAGAAACCGTCCAAGTACCGCGAGCGAATTCGGACGACTTCGCTCGTTGAAATTCGTCGGAAGTGTAGTGAAGTGAACCGAAGGCCCTCGCCATTTTTCACGTCCCGAGCATTAATCAAACTCACGCGGGCTTCGTAACCCAGGCCACCTCCCTCCCGCCTCCTTTTCCAAAGGCTACGCTCATTCCCTTATACACTCGCATTTCCTTCCCACAGCAAAGCTCTTCTACGCTGCTCGCCTCATCCTACTTCGTCATTTTCTCTTCTTCATTTTCTCAATATCCCCATCGCCAACGACGCTTCGTTACGTCGAACCCTAACCTCGTAATATTTCTCCTGCAAAGGCACAGTACGCGTACGGGTACCCATGCGCGCTTTTGACAATTCCCGTTCTACCTGTTAATCAATCCTTTCTTTTTTTTTCATCTCTCTCTGTCTATCTCGGGTATCCGGAATCTTCATCCCTCGAGCGATCCTCCTCAGTTGGCATTCTGCGCGACGTACGGTGGCACGTAAGGTCCCGTTAGCATATACTGCACCGCGACGATCATCAGCTGCGGCGCACTCCACCTTATGATATACGCGCTTCCTGAAACATAAATGCATTTCGTCTGTTATACGTATCCCTTGTGCAATATCGTAGCTGCTCTGGCAGGACTTAAAGTGGGTACATCGGAAGGCAACGGGTGCCCAGGAGTATACCTGGATACTTGTCGGAAGTTCTCGGCAATGGTAAGAGAAAAATCCTCGTAAACTTTCAATGTAATCCCAGGGGCGTTTCGCAGTTGCGTCACATCCATATATTCTTACTTCTTTTCTCTCTTACCTCAAACCATACGTTACTTATATACTGCACGCGGGTTATCATTCTACTTTATTTTCATATCGTTTCTACCGTGTGGTCACGACGACGAAGGATCCAGGAAAAATCGATACTGGTGTGTGCCCTTTCAAAAGACTAGTATATATAGGTATAACGTAGAAGCCAAGAAACGTATTCCACGAGAAAGTTACTGAGCCTCTATGAAGAGACGCAATTCGGTCTAACATGACAGATCCTTCGTATATATATATATATATGCATCTAGAACTACTTTTATCACATCCTACGGATTCATATCTCCTGCAGTTGGCGATAACCTTGATTTCACGAGGCTCTCTCAGCATGTACCAAGTACCGGTGGATTCACTTTGAACCTGTGTGCTCTCCAGCCATGCTATCGGATTTCGCATTACTGGCGGCTGTATTCGTCCCTACAAGCCACATGCGAATACGAGTCGGGTAGGTGTCAATGGATACTGCCTAGCTGGGATGGCAGGCAGGTGAGTACGTATTCACTTCCTTACACCTTTTATGACAGTAGGTATTGCGCAATGGAGTCGAACGAATCATTGGATCAAATCTATTTTCAATAAGAATTCCCCACAACATTGGAAGCAACGTCTGTCCTCGTGCTGGGAAGACTCGTCCCATGGTGGACCAACCCCCATAAAGTGAAGCAGGAAACGTGGGGAAAATAGCTGATCTGGTCGTTCCGTATAGGTATGGGTAGAGTCTGCGTTCTTCTGTGGGATCGTTGTTAGAACTATATATATCTACCTAATGGAACACACGGATATGGGACTTATGTATAAAGGATGTATAATAAAAATACATTGGTCATCCTGAGCGGACAGAAAACTGGAAGGCCGACCATTCGAGCTCATCTATAGTTATATATGTGGACTATAGATTGATATATTTATACGGCGTTTTAGGTATATATGAGATATATGACGCATGAATATGTTTCACGTATAATAATATTGACGGTAGCAATATGTTAGTGGACGAAAAGTTAAGTATTGGAAAACTAAGTTTTTCTATACATTTTACTCGATTTGTATAAATTGCATATTCCGTATGCTTTTATACCCTGTTGATATATTGATCATATAAAAAAATATATTTATTTCGAAAAAAAAGTGTATATTATTTGATAATCAAAATTTTTCCATCCACTCATTTCTGCATGCTGGCAAGTATTAAGAATTCAAGAGACCCAATACACAATTTTGATCCTCTATTTGTCGATACCGACGTCAGTATGCTATTGAAAAATGCAGTAATGGTGATGCAGCGCCTGCTTCCGGGTGTTTGTTTGGGAAAAATAAAGTAAAGAGGAAGTGAGACAAAAAAGGTATGAGAGAGAGAAAGGAGAGAAAAACGACAGGTCGTCGCTGTCAAATCCATTGAAAACGGGGGTGGGCGGTTTCAGCTTTTATCCCGAGATGCAAAAGAGCGTCGAAAACTCGAAAAATTTAGAGCTCGGGAATTCGCAGGCGTTCCGGAGCTCGGAGCGTTGCTGCGGCATAACGGGAAAAGCGGTTGAGTCTCGGGAGAATTGCATTTAAACCGTGGAAGGATATTACGATTTTATTTCATGCCAAGATTACTCGACAAGGGCACTCATTACTATAATATCCACGAAAAGAAGATCCGTCTCTCGCTCTTGAGCGTCGGGCAACGCGAAACGTTTCGTGTCATCGTTGATACAATTTTTTTCTATAGTTTTTCCTCCTTTTAGCCAAGTCGCAAATTCACGTTGCTTATTCGCCCTGAAGCACGTGTTCACGCGCTCCGCTCACGGGCCACGTATAATTTTCGCCAAGTCAGAAGTCAGGTCTTCCGCTACCCTTGTCCCACGTTACCTCCAGCCTCCTCGAGTCACTCGCTTCAGTGCATTATGTATTGCAACCCCGCGAATATGTCGCTACATTACGCGGCACGAATTCCGCTCTAATCTACTTTGGCTCTTGCTGCTGCAATTAATTACGAGCTACTAATTGTCGAGTGTCTCTTCCTTTTTTTTTCATTTCCAGATGACTCACCGTGGAAGCCTAATAAGAGCCGCTGCACAATATGCCCTGTGTGCACGTAAGAATATACGTAAGGTGGAAATTAAAAAATTATATTTATTCCCTGCTACACCCGAAGTCAACAAGCTTCGTCTTTATCGCGCATATAAGCGACGTACAAATATCTTCACCTCGAACGTCCCAGGATACCAAGACCCGAGGATCATTCGTCGGAGGTGAAAATTTGAGGTGCGAAATTTAGCCGCTAGGTGGCAGGTGCCAGGGGGCGGATGGAAAACAAACGTTAATGCCGCTACGACTACGGCAGCAGGTACCGTTAATGTACGGGATCCCGAAATAAACAGGGTTGTTTCAAATAACTTTCTGCGTCGCGGGACCGTCTTCCTAAGTGCAGACATTAGCATAGCATTCGCTATATTGCAATTTACTGCATTAAGCGTGCACCGGAGAATGGGATGCTGTTAGTAATGCTGGTCGCATCTAGGAGACGCTCGACTGGGTTCGCTCCGTGAAACTTGGGCGAATAATATAATATGTATGTCTATTGTGCCACCTATCAGAGTGCAGCAGTGCAACTGCTTGTATGCAGTTGATACATGCACCGGGCATGGTCGTCTTGTAAGTTGCATCTACTTTTCTGTCATTCGTGCGAATATAAAAATTTCGTATATATCGGTTTTCAAATTTTGCAAATTTTTTTTTTTCCAGCGAACGACGATCCCGGTCAGGGTATATATTGTTACTTGAAAACGCTGCCCGCGCGAGGATGCTTGACCTAGGGCAATATATTAATGGCCCGTGGAGTGTTTGGTCTAATTTATCGGCAAAAGGCTTTTGGCAAAACGCTCGTCCAACGTGTTCGGCGGTTGGCGTTGCTAAAGGTCATTTCACATTGCAGCTATTTCGGTCGCAACGATATATAACGTATAACGTATTGGATAAGGGAGATTTTTTTAATGTAATTTTTTTTTACTATTTTTAAAAAATATTTTCGGTAAAACTTATTTCAGATTTATACGCTAATCGGTATACAGTTTTGAGATTGACTTTGAGTTACCATGCGTAATTCGTCGTTACTCGAGTATTGTATTTATCCATTCAATTATGCTCGGGCAAAAATTATAATGCAGACTAAAAAATTTTGGATTTTGAGAATCACTGCTTTAGTATCGGGCTGAGATACCCCTGAGCTAGGGTTGGGTTTATATCCTTTATGGATATAGATAGTGGCAGGGAGAACCCGCAGCACGTCCCGGCATACGACTTGTGCCTGTTAAGCTCAGGACTTATTGTTAGAAGAGCCTTGAGAAAAATGTGAAAATTAGTTGGTGGCTTTTAACTGTTTTAACAATTAGATATCGTACAGCAACGTGCTTGTGTGATACTTGCTTCGGACAAATAATTGGATCGATCAATAGTTTCAAGGGACTTGATCGATTTGGCATTTTTCATGCATTAACTTACGTACGTAACCTCAAAGCTACGGATACGTCAAATATACGTATAAATGTATTTTCCATTGTTCATTTCTATTATTAGCTTTTCCTGCTTTAACTCTAATACTGTCAAATTTTAATATCCTCGATACCTGTCTACCTTTAAGCATTATCGATATATACGACTTAAATGTATTATATTTACGGTATATATATATATATATATATATATATTCAGAGAGACGTATATTAATATATACAACGCTAAATGGATGACGCATATATAATCTTAAAGAGGCAAACGTCTCATTTTGTATAATGCGAGTCAGAGGGATATTTACACGGTACATACATTTTCCTCAAAGCACATGAACGCGCATGGCGCGGGGGGACTTTTGGGTTGACGGAGAAGTAATTAATGCTGGGTTCATCAGCAGATGGAGATATACAATTAGGCACAGAGACGTAGCAAAATGCTGTTCGAAACACCTGTGTCTGCCGAGCATGATTTTCGGTTGGTATTCTCAGTCCCGTATACCCAATCTCGATAAAAGTTTCGAATAAATTTCTCAGATGTCTCAAATATCGCGATAAGCCTATCGCGCGTGCAATCTGTGCAACAGGTACTTCTCTGAAAAATCTTGTGCCCGAAGCTTTATCATATTCGAGTTATAATGATTAATGACAGATCTGGAGTAACTCTTTTTTTTTTTCAAGCATAACTAAAATTTTCCTCCAAACACACGAAATATTATTTATACCCGATTTATAAAATTTTCGCACGTCACTAGATCGATACATGTATGATTTACATGTTAAAAAAATTTTAAAAATACTCAAATTTTTAGTATTTCAAAAAATTCATTACTTAATTGCCGGGGAAAAATATACGAAAAATTGTACGATAAGCATTTATATAGGGTGACCCGTGAAATTTCTTTCTATGGGATAGTTGTCGGATAACTATGGTTTAGTCTAGTGTCTGTATATATGAAAAATGAAAATAACGATGTGAATTCGAGTGTGCACGATCTGAAGATTGTTATGAATTTCAGTATGTACCGTATGAGAACCACTTTTACTCGTGTGAGTGTTATGGGAGCCACACCCGCGTTTCACATCAGTTATGAGGGGGTCGAAATGTTCTATGGGGAAAGGGGTGAGCCATAGAAGGATACGAGGGGGAGGTATACGAGACAAGAATGGTGTACGGGGTTAGGAGCTGGGACGAGGGGACATATATATATATATATATATATATAGGAAAGATGTGGACCGCTTCTCCGACCCAGCTCATGCTCCTCGGAGTGAAGCTATGGGGTTTACCTTATCCTGACCTTAGCGCGACGGCTAACCCTTGGCTTAACTCAAGGCAGATGCGAGGACCATGTTGAAACAGTAAGTTGAGGCGATATACAAAATTCAACATTGACAGGCTGTATAAACTCTTTAGAGTCAAGATTTTCGAATTTACGTTCGGGATTTCGATGAACTTTCAAAAATATACTCCAATACGATTTTAGTAGTAGGTATTACGTAAAATGATTTTTAGGACTGATTTTTTTTTTTTTCTACACGCGACTCTCGTTTACGTACGCAAGGTGTTACACGTCAGGCCGATTTAACGTCTTTGCTAACCCATGAAATCGTGGCTTCGAGAATCGCGTAGCCAGCGCCAACTTGGTCAGGGATGCGGTTACGGGTCTAAGTTATGTGCTACTTGCAGCAGTAACTTAAAGCACTAGCCGCCGTTTGCACTGTACGTGGGTACCATCTCGCGCTTAACCGCTGACGTAAGTTTGCCTGGCAGGATAGTTACTAGTCTCCGGTAGTGCTGCTTGAGAAATCGTGTGCCTAAAGCTGGAGGGTAATTCAATTTATTGTTTTTCGCTCTGATGTAATTCAGGTGTAAAATTATTTTTTACCGAGGATACACGTCGACATTTTTTTTTTTCGGGCAGGTCGTGGCGAATGAAATATCTTCATGTGGTCTTAATGGGTTTTAATGGATTTTCGAAAATATTTATTCGAATCGACATTTCGCCCAGCCTTTTGCGCGTCTGTCCCCAGTGACCTCGGAGAACGCGGATGCAGGACCGAATGGATTGCTTTGAGGTTAAAGTTCAGATTGTACTATTGAACTATGGTAGTGGGCACAGTGGTGAATCGCTCTACGATGTCTTTGTCGTAATACGAAGAGTAACCGCAGAACGAGCTTCGGCTTCCGGTCAATAGGAAAAGTTCGGTCGACACTGCTAACGAATCAATATGGGCCACGTTCCAAAAAGCCCTCACGATTTCTATAGGCACGTTACAATCCAGATACAAAGCTACCCGGGACGAAGATGGGTATCGGTTAATAAATTCAGTACGGATGTAAAAAGTGATAGTGAAATTTTTTTTTTTTTTCATCTTCCTAACGCAAATATTAAATCTTTCCGTGATATGTCCAAAATATTATCTATGCGATTCCGATTTTTTTCGATCGCTCCGTAACGTTCCCTGTGCTCGTCTTCTGCAGCCGCGTCTCTCTGTACCAGCGACGTTCGAGTCGCCTTTCGTACTTCGAATTACCAAGTTTTTTCGCAATCGCGTTTCCCCGTCGTATCCACAACGTTTTTTCGATTCGGAATACCAACTGCTGATGATAATTTCACCTAGCGACGATCAATTTTTTAAGGGTTGGTAGGTGCAAGGACGTACAAAAAAAAAGGGGAAAATGTATCGAGAACGTCCGTCACCGAGGCGAAGTCAGGCGCAATCGGTAAAACGTACATACGTAACATATAAGCGGGATTCGCGTCGCCTATACACGTCTAGTACGCAAAACCGCAGATAGAGGGACACGATGTTTTACAAATGTACGAATAGCACTGTACTAGATAGATACACGTTTTTCGAGGCTCGTCGACGCGCGTGGCAACATTGCGTAACAGGGGCACGTGAGAATCCCTTGTATCCGCTCGCACAACTGGAGACTCGTCTGTGTCAAGGTGATAATTGGCTAAACGTGGAGCTTGAAAAAAGAAAAACAACCTCAAACAGGGGTTGAAAAAACTCGGAAAATAAACAAAGGGGAAATGATTCGTACGAGGGTCGTTGAATCGTCGACACGTTAAGGGTATCGATAATCATGTACGAGAGGTATATTCAGCGTGCCGAGGAATGCGAATGGCGATGCCTGGGAAAATTGTTTGTTTAAAAACTCTTCTACCAATAGTAAACTCTCCAAAGCCAAATGGATTAAATGGTTTTAAATTGAATTAAAATAATTATTGAAATCGTCATTAACTTTGGTTAGTCGTACTTGTAACCCATTGCTATGTCGTTGCACAATATATACATAGTTATTGAAATACCAGTTTAATTATGTATATATATATATATATATATATATACATACAGGCAATAAAAAAATGTTCATCCAAAAATACATATATAGATATACAAGTGTATAACCAGTTAAAACGTAACTATAGTTCGGTAGGATGTACCTGAAAAGCAGCACTCGCACGTGGTCTTCTAAGAACCGGATACGAGCTAACCTGCTAAGGTTACACGGGGCAGGACTCAAGGGTCGACTGGTTAATATTAACAGGCCTCCGTAGTAGCAGGTACTCCTAATGTTGCTGCTGGTTAATTTTCTAATAAACGTATCGAGGGATGTCCATGCATATTTTAGAACGAGCAAGTGTAGGGAAGCTGCTTGAAGTTGGGTTTGAAATTGTCGATATCGAGACAACGGTAACCCGACGTTCTAATGGGTCCGTGAGCTACGCTCGAGCCGTGCTGAACTCTGTGCCAGGTTAGGTTATGCAGATCGTGTACTGGAATATGCAGAGAGCTCAGAGTATCGCGAAGATGCACTTTGGAGAGGGGAGGATCGATTGGAGGTTACGCAATGCATTATGATAATTTGTGAGCTAATTTTTTTTTAACTACACCGAAGATTCACGCGTGAAAAAAAAATTTCGAATTTTCTGACTGCACGGTCGAAACTGCGTGGGATTCATTATCAGCCAGTATCTGCTTACTCTGGGTCGAACGGTTCGCTTTGAAACGTGATCATTCGTTAATGGCGATTAGCCTCGTTGCAACGTGCCAATCCCATTTTCCGGAAGTCCGGTTTTCCTGGATTATCCAGATTGCGGAAAGACCGATGATATCCGGTACAGGGCGCGATGAAAGGGAACTGGTTGGTTTTGGGTTACGGGCATGTGTGTTCGAACGAAATGAATTTTATGGGAGAATAATGAGCGACTTTGGGATCGTTTTAGAATTTTGAAAATTTCAATTACAAATTAAAGACTTTTATCAGCAAATACCTGGTCGCCTGATGGGTTTACGGGCTAAAGTGAAATTTCGAATTATTCGAATAAAAACGATGGCTTGGGTATCGTGCTCAAAATTATCCCATCCATATACCCGGTGGGATGAAACGACGTGTCCTCTTTCGCGTTATTTATTCAGCACTCTTGGAAATGCATTATGCACTTTTATATCCATTCTTCAGTATGCACCGGGCTCGAATGCACCGACTACTTTTTACCGATATATCAAATTCGACTCGTGATTTGTTTTATTACACGAATTCCCTGATAAATATAATTCGATCGACGTCAAAGAGCGTTCGTAGTCGAGTAACGTGTTGATATAGCGTAAAAAAAAAAAATTTCCGTTAATTCGATTAACGATATATCGTTATTCGATGGGATTCAATTAAATAAAATAACGAGCTCCTTGCAGCATGTTAATAATTAAAATTTTCACGATCACAGCACGAATAATTTACCCTGACAAAGTTTGAGTCTATAAAAAAAAAAAAAAAAAAAAAAAAAAAAAAATTAAGCGTCATCAAAAATTATATTTTTTGATACAGTCGAGATAACGCTGTATACCGTATCTATATATCTCAAGATTCATATATATATATATGTATATACAATATTACGAGACTACAGAATATCCAAAGAGCCACAGCCATGTTGATACGTAAAATCCTAAGAAAAGCAGCGAGCGCGCATCGCAGCTATTTCATTGCGAGAGACATACGTATATACTTAGTCCGTGCAGCACAGTGCGGACTGGCATTACTTATTTTATTATATCAGATATACTCCAGGTAGAGCGCGCCGGGTGCCGTGTAAAATAAAGCGAAGAATAGTAAAACAGAAGAAGAAGGTTTTCGATGGAGCTCGCGATGCATATATACCCGTGAACTTTTAACGTCCCCGTGTTCTCGGCAAATTGGACGATGCGGCAGTGGAAGGTTGCATTACCGTTACAGCCACCCAGGGCAAAGTGCATAGCGCGATGCAGACTCCGACTTCAGCTCCGCCGGCAACAAGGAAGCAGGATCTCTGGGAAACTGACAGATCCTCCAGCCCGTGGCGTATAATCTCCCGACTCTCGGCTGCATGTCGTTTCGAATGATCGCTCGACTATCAGGAGCAAGGGAAGCTGTACGCGCGGGATGGGCTAAGGATTTTTCCAATATCTCCGAGATGGGTGTCTCCTGGGTACCGGTCGTTGCTCCGGAACCAGTACCAACGTCACGGCTGGATTCGAATATGAAAGATCGCTGAGGACGTTGGATACCGACTGCTACGGTAGGTTTGGCATTCGAAGTAAATAAACGTAGGAGCAGTCCGACGCTCTTAAGAACGAGTTCTCATCCACGTGCGAATAAAGAGTCCTGGACGGGAACGATGGAAAGTGCAAATGTCACCCGTGGGAAATTCACGTCTCGCGATACGCCAATTTTCATGGGCAGCATCTACCTGTCTCTCTGCGCGACCCACGAACCTCCCTGTAAGGCCGTAGGCAAAGTCTACGGGCTCCTCCCTGATCCACCCGCAGGATCTATGGGAATTTAAAAAATGGTCCTGATGGGACGAACAACTTCAGGGTGCATGGTGCAGAATAGCGTGGCTCGGACTTCCTGTCTCGGGTGCATTCAGGATGGTCACGTGTTGCGCGAAATTGGAACAGGCCGGAGCGACTGGGACGGAGTCAGTTTGGGTCTATGAGCTGAAGGGGAGACGTGGCTTCGCGAGCCAATGGGAGCTAAGGATATTGGGTGGACACTGTGCTGACATCCTGGGAAATGCAAGGAAATTTAGGTCTCACCTGTGCTTGCGTGACCTCGTGGCTTCTGCTCTGGCCTTTCGAGCTTCTCCTCGCTCGACGGAGGTCGCTCGGTCCTTTTTGGATAGTACGGCTTGTAAGAAGCTGGCCACACGGTCGTCAGCCGTTTCGGCGGGGCCGGGGTGCTCTTTCGTCCTGGAAATAAACGAGGACCTCATCCACCAGGTGTCAGGACTCGAGAACAGATGCGTCTCGAATATTTATAACGTAGTCACGTGAGATCGCTGCACTATTCCACACCATACATAATAAAGTACTACACACGAGACTGCCTTAAAGTTCTTTCCAATGCGCGACAGGAATGAGATAATGTATACGAGAATATTAATGAATTTATTATATTTTCGCAAAGGTATTTGTGAGCTTTCGCCTAAAATCAACGAATATAAATGCTGCCGCGACGAGGGGCCAAGTTCGTTGACAACGGAAGCGGACGAATTGGTGCGCAGTCCCTTTGAAAACCAGCCAAGTCTAACTTGTTGCATTCGATGCCGGCAAGTCAATTGGCACCGATGCGAAATTCGCGCTTCGTAAATGTCTGCAAGCTCGAAAAGCTTCTTAGCGAGAGAAACAGTTGGATGCTTTCCTAGTGGAGCTTTCGGGTGGAAGCTCAAACTTTAAGAAATTCCAGCCACCACGTGTATACCTGTACACCCTACGTGTACGTACAGAGAGAGAAATCCCTTACGTCGTAATAACTTTAAGAGCTGCAAACATTTTCCTACTCGTCTAAGACTTTTTTTTCTTAGGAGCGATAACGAGGAGCTATCCTCCTTCCTGCTTCCCGTACGCGAGCTTGAGCTTTCTCGTTTAACGTCCCACGGCTGACACGAAAATTTTCAAAGCATTCTTTGCATTCTACCGACCGAGCACGATCCCTCGTGGGCCGTTCGCTCTTTGCGCGGTAGATTGAAAGTTTTCATGGCGATAATTTTCTACTCCCAACCAGGGTGTAGTTTAACTTCATGTCCGACAGGGGGCCTATACTATTCTTCGGTACTGTCGTTCGCCCGGCGAAACTTATCGTTTACTTTTTCTCTCTATTTCGTCCACCAACCAGCCTTCGGGCTTCACAATATAAAGTAGGTTCATGTATATGCCTCTTCTATACAGAACGCGTCCTGTTACTAGGAAAAATATTTCAAAGGGTCTGCCTCGTTCTTGGTCTAACGGTAAATCGTATAAGTAGAAAATTTCAAAGACCCCTCAGTGTCGCATCGCATGACTGGAAATTGTCATTCTTGCCGCGTCGCCTCTTCTTTCCGCTGTTTAGTGGTCTTCGTATTTTCGTTCTTATATCGAATAAGTTTACGAGGCATTCGTATCTGAATTTCTAATGGGTTGGCTTGGAACGTTCTTATTCTACTATGCATAAAGTCCATTACAGTTGTAATATCCATTTACCGACGGCTGGTAAAACGATCGTTGGCTTTCTGATATAGGGATTTTCATCATTTATTAATCGGGTTATGGCGACGATGTATGGATGACGTTGATATCGGATCAACCCTTTCGGTATTGGGGGTGACTGCCGGTACGATTTCCCGTAGGGCATTGTTTATGAAGTATCGAAAGGGTTAATAGATTTATTTGACAGACTGATGTGTGAAATAATTTGACAGTTATATATACAGTATAGAATTCGGGTGAATACGAGCAAAGTGTAGTGCAAGTATATATGGTGAAAATGTTACGATTTTTTTTTTTTCCCCTAATAAAAAGCTGTTCAATTTTGTTAATATTAGCCCGATCAATTTCGAGGGTTTTAATGACAAACGCATTGTTCGTATGGGACAGATATTTTTCATTCGATTCTTCAATTTTGCGCTCGTTCATGAAGAAATAATAATTGGCCAGTCACCGGGGAGTGGAATGACGTGAAAAAAAAAAAAAAGAATTTCACGCGCTCGACGCTGCCCTAAAAATATATTAAAAATAATGAAAAATCGAGTTTCTGCGATACGTATTTCTGGTATAAAAAAAAAACTATCGCATTTTCACGCGCCACTGGGCACTGTAATTAGCTGGCAATTACTGCCACGAGTTTACTCCAACAGTACCAGTGCTCGATACGGCTCGACGATTGAAATTATTGCGCAAAGGACGTTTCGTAAAAATTATTCGGATTGGTCCGGATTGGCGGAAGTAAAAAAAAAAAATCAAAATTTTGACAGTCTATTTTACGTGATACGGAAATACCGGCAATGAAAAAAAAAAAGTAGCGTACGACAAATATATTGTATAGTGAAAAAGTTAAACGGCATTGTTTATACGAGGATCGTGATCGTCAACGAATTTAAATTTCCCGCCTCTTAGCCGTTCCAGGTGGCACCGTCTCCGGAGCAGTTAGTCCTTTATGTTTCTCGGCTCTTTCCAAGTCCTGGCACACTTTCTCGAAAACAACCACCCTTCGACTTCTCCCACCACCCCGCGCCACCCCCACGGTCCTAACCCCAGGATACCAAGCTACTAAAAAGTTTTCGAATAAAAGTTTAAATACGCCAGGAAAGTTTGTTTTGTTGTGCGGTGCAGCGGCCTCCTAACAATATAGTCCGACGGGGCCTGTCTGTATGCTAAGAGTATGTGAATATATTATACCCGACCCGCGCCTTCTAGGCAATCACACTGGGCTCGTATTTCACTGCTGTTCTTTGTCTTTTACCCCGATGAGAGCTTTCTTAACCAAGTTTCAGAACCCGTGTAGCTACCATAGAAAAGTTCACGTTAGATATCACAGTTGACAGTAAAAATATCAAGGGGGGTAAAAATATGGGCGCGAAAGATATAAGCAGAAACAATACGGGCAGGCTAACTGCCGTTACCGGCGCAGAGCCCTGCGTTACCGACGTTCAGTTATCGTTCGACACAGTCAGTCGTCGAATTCTCAAATAATACGTAATACGCGACAGGGGGTTAAAAAAAAAAAGGTACAACTTCTCCGAAGCAATACGATATATTTTCATGAGGCCAAAACTTTATACGGGCCGCGCTGCGCATTCGGTTTGAATTGTTAAATATTATTAAAGCAGAGGTACGATGGGATAAGGAATTTGCAAACTTTCTTACCCGAGTTATATCAAATGGGAAACGAACGATGAAAGCCTTTCGCCACTCCGGGCATTTTATCATCGCCGTTTACCAAGGAACTTTTCTACTTTGTGCCACTGAAATTTTATACCGGCATTCGAATGCCTGGCGCAATACAATTTCATAATGAAACTCTCCCGCGATTGAACATCCCCTTAATTTCAATCTCTTCGTAATGTCTACCCCGATCCTCTTACTTTTCTTTATCCAATAATTAATAGCTATACGATAAATATATATTTTTTTAAATTTTATCCATACGCACTGTATAACCAATAGATATGTATGCCTGGGATGTCAAAATTTTCATCTCCCCTAATTTTTCAAAAAAAAAAAAAAAAATAATAATCCCAATAGGAAATGACGGTTTGCCAGCAGCTCTTGTCGGAAAAACAATACGGATATTTCGTCGGGGTACACGTTCCCTACAGTGCGACCTGACCGCTCTCGGTTATATAAACGGTAGTTTCATCAGACAGTAATTGAATTTTAAATGCAGTTAATTAGGTCACCCGTTAAGTCAGTAACGACATATCGCGGAGGTTAAGAGTAAAAATTATATTCCTGAGATTCCGATTATGCTACTGGTCGGTATGGACATAGAAATAAATTTTCGAATAATCTCTTCTACATACTATAATATTTCTCCCGTCCCACGTGGCTAACTAGCATCGATTAACGTATTCGAGAAAAAAATAAACTTGGCCATTTTTTTAACTCCTACTTTTTAAAATTTCAATTAAAATTAACGCAAACGCAGCCAAGAATTTTCATTGTATAAAATATTCAAAAACTCGTTATCCCTGAAATATGCATGCTCGAGGGTATATCCCGTAACGCACACTAATCCAAGATATCCGAACGCCGTAGGAGATAGATATTCCGTAAATTCCAAAATCAAGAACGCGTGGAAAATTTTCGGATAGTTCAAGATTGGTCCAATAATGTTTCTCAAGAATTTCTAGAACAATCCAGAGACGTGGGTGCCAAGCGATCTCTGGTCCTATCGAATAAAACCGCAGCTATCTCGTCTACGACAAACGATATTGCCGTAAAAAAAAAAAAAATTTTAATTAAATAACATAGGGGGAAAAAAATACCAAAAGAAAAAGAAACACAGAATCGCTTAATTTTCAACGTTTGACAGTGCGAAACCATGTTGACATCGATTTCAGAGAGTTTATTTCGTACGCCTGTATTTTAGACCCCAGAGATCTATATATAGAGTCTCGAAACCGCCCGGTGGCCGCAGCTATAATGTAACCAGTCGAAGTAAAAGCCAAGGGAAATTGTAAAGCATAATATAGTAATACGCGGGCATGTTGGCGAGGCTTGTATGGCTTTAATAATGCAACATATTGAGATTGGTACCGCGTAGGTAGAAGCTGTCGGAGTCAGTGGAACCACTGGGACCAAGCCCGACCTCAGGATCCACCCAAGTTATTCGCTCTGCTTAATAATAAAGGCGTATACGTACATTGCCCTGGCTAATCTGAGGATTACTTTTCAAAGGATTCGATACCTTCACTTCCCGGAACCCTCGTCACGACAGATCCTGCCGTCTTTAAGTGCTGATAAACGACAAGACGAATCTAACGAGATTCCTCCTATTATATATATATATATACATGCTCGTATCAGCATACAAAATTTAATACGCGTTATGTAATTTTTCTTTTTTTTTTTTTTTTTTTTTTTTTTTTTTTTTTTTTTTTTTTTTTTTTTTTTTTTTTTTTTTTTTTTTTTCGAAATTATGTATCTGCGTTCTTACGGCTGCGATTTCTTTAGCGATAAATACCGTATAGTCACTTCCGTCGCTGTCGGGTATTTACGCGTTTCCGGTACGACGACTTTCCATTGGATAATTGTAATCGCTTTCCTTCGGACTGATTAATTACTTCTCCCGGCTAATGTAGCGTGACTCGAGAATTATCCGCAGCTCGTACAACACCCGTGGACTTTATCTTATTTTGATAGGGGAAACCACACGGTATTTCGCGAAGGATAATCGTCATTAACGAAAGTTGGTATTTAGTCGTGGAGTTATGTCGAACCTAGTCAAATTTTCGGAGGATCGCCTAACGACGCCGGAAGGTAGATTTCATTATTTTTGGATGGTTTTTGTTGTTTTTTTTTTCTGTTTCAGCAATCTACGCTCGGATTTTGCTGCTACAGGGTGAAAAATGCCGTAGAGCAATAAAAAAAAAGGTCGTCTCACCTTCTTTGTTGGCGCTGCTCTTGATTTCCGTGGCTTTTGGCGGCGCTGATGGTTTTGGTATTTCTGAAATCAGAGAAAAGAGCATTGCAAAATCAGGAGACGTAAGGGGTTGCCAGAAAAATTTCCATAATTTTGAATATATTGTCGGAGGGAAAGGGGGTGAATGAGAAATTCGAGTAAAACTGCATCAAATGAATAATCGATACGATTGGTGTAATTTGGTGATATTTAAAAAAAAAAAAAAAAATTCTATAACCATCGGATTTGCCTTGTACCATTATTATGTAAAATATTAAATTATAACTGAGCTAAAGTCTATTTCAAGTATTTCATCCAGTTGGCATTACTAATCGCTACCGAACAGAATAATTAATCCGATTTTCTAATTTTGATTAAAGCATACTTCAAATATCATAATCCAAGTATTTCATTGAATAAATTTAAGAAAAATGTCGGGCAAAACTATTATCGTTTAAATGACCAATCTGTCCCTGTCGATTTTGAACGGGATAAAAGTACGCGATAAGACAGGTGGTACATGCGCATGCGCCTTAAATTTCCCAATAAACCGCTTACCGTACAATCTAATGGAGCCCTCGGTCTCTCCGAGAGAGTTTTTGCTGATACATCTATAGTTTCCAAAGTCGCCAGCTTGCAGATTTCGTATGGTAAGCCTCATGTGAGTCCTGTAGCTGTTCTCGACTGTGTGCGTGAAATATTTCTCATTGGACAGCACCATGGTGCTATTGAAGATCCAATAGCTGATGGCACGTGGGTGAGCCTCCGTGTGACAGTCGATGGTAACGTTGGTATCGGCAGGAGCGCCAACCAGCTGATTCGGCACCCAGATCATTGGTGAAACTTTAATTAGAAAATAGTTTACCCATAAGGCCCCCGTACAATTGAATTAAGGTTTTTGCGATGGAACGTAAAATTTTTCTTTTACCCCCCCCCCCCCCCAAACTC